ATATAAATTAAAGAATTTCATATAAACAATTTTTTTCTGTTGCACTAATTGTTGTAAATAAGATTAATTATTCCTCTTTTTTTGGTGAAAATTTCTTTGAGAAAATTAGAATTGTAAAAAGTTTTAAATAATGAAAATTAAATAATCAATAGGAATCAACAATTTGTAATATTTATTACAAATTACAACCATTATAAGATTTTAAGATTTGAAAAAGTTAATACTAAAAAATGTATATACCAATCAATATGGAAATCAGACATCAATAAAATGAACATACATTGATGATACATTGTGACTAATGTGTACCTCATTCTTAAAACCACTTATAAATCAAAATCTCAAAAAAGGCGAGCTTTTCCATTATTTCTTATGACTGAAATCTATACCATATTCTAACATAACCCAGTTACCTTATACATGTTCCTCAAATAACATCAAGTGCTTATATATATATATATATATATGTATATAAGCACTTAATGTTATATATATATATCCTATTCATTGATCAAAGAATGAATTTAAATAAAAATAAAATAAATGAATATTGCTTTGATTACGTTGCTAACCAATGTAAATGAAACCAGCATAAAATGAGTAAAGCCAATATGATGTAAGTAAATGATAGTTAAGACAATAATTAAGCAGAAAACAAGTAAAATAAAATTGTTTACAATTAACAAAATTGTAATTTCCCACAGAAAAGTGATACTTATTTAGGAAAATGAGATAATTGTTGTCTTTGTTAAAGGTAAACAATGACAACTGTTATTCTAAAAACAAAGATGAAGCAAAGAAAATTCAGACTAGAACTTAAACCACTAATTAAATCATGCAGGAATTTCAGTTTTATTGAAATTGTGATTGTGAAGTTTTCTTCTTCTAAATACAGTCAAACCTCGCTAAAACAATACCTATTACAGCAGTAAACCCCAGCATGATAGAACTTCTTTGGTTCTGGACAAAGTCCTATACAAATACTGTAATTTATCACCCACTACAATAACAAAAACCTCAATACAATGGCACGACTATCAGGATGTGATGGCATGACATGTGGCTGACTGATGCATGAGCTGTGTGACAAAGAACTAGGAGCACCTATTCACTAATTGTGTTATCTATGACTCCTCCCCGCTCTCCAGAATGGTTTGTCCTCATTTAGCTAATTGGTGGCATTATGATTGTCATCACTACCTCATCCTATTACAAAGAACTGCAAGCACCTACCAATCGCAAAGTTTCCTTTTCCCGCCAGACAAGAGCTCCAGCTAATGGCCAAGAAGAAAGTAGCTGTACTAGCAGGTAGCAAGAATAAAAAACTGACAAAAGCATGTAAACAAATAAGTTTAGAAATAAAGTAAGAAGCATTCAAAGATAGTGATAGTGGAATAAAGCAAATAAAAATTGCAAAGAAGTATGGCTTCAACTCTAGCAACATTTTTAAAGAAACAGAAGAAAATTGAGTGCAGTACAGTAGATTCCCCTATAAAACTGTTTCCTATAGTTACGATTCCTATAAGACAGCGAAAAAATTGTGGCGGTATCCGTATACAACGGTAAAAAACTCCTATAATTACGTAAAACGTCATCGGGCAGCCGAACTACTTTCCCGCCGTCCGTAGCGCCACGCTATGGACGTTTAGGCGGGTAAATTGAGTTTAGTTTCGTCTGTACATATAATTATATATATATTTTTCGCCGTCTAGTGGCGCTATGGAGAGTTTAGGCTAGCTATCATCTGTACAGTGTGTAAATTAGGTACTGTAAGTCTAATATAGCACTGTAATTTTATACGTTTCTTGTGAAAGAAACATTTCTTATTCAACGGCCATAAAAATTATTTATATTAATGATGTCTCCAAAGGTCAACGAAGTTTTCGCAGAAAAATAATATCAGAAATCGCGGCCGCCATTTGATGTGCTGTTCCGCGACGAAAACAATCTTTAGCAATGGGCGTAGTCAAACGGTGCACACTCGGTAAGTAATCCTACAATTTTTTGTTTATAACGTAGTTTATACGGATTATTTCCAAAAAAATATACGTATTTTGGAAATGTTGAGTCAAATTAGTTTAGAATCGATTAATTTTATGAAAGAAAACCTTTCAAACAGCCATAGTCCGTAAACTGTGATTCCTACAAAATTGATTCATAAAGAACGGAACGTATCTACCGTCTTATAGGGGGATCTACTGTATAGCAGATGGAAACATGGATCCTTCTCAGAAACATCTGAAAATACCTAATTGTGATGATGTTGACAATGCAAATTTTATTGGTTTAACAAGATGCAGGCACTAGAATATGCCAATAAATGAGCCAGTATTGTGCCAAAAAGCAATACATTTCACAAGGATGATTGGACATATGGAATTTAAAGCTAGCAATGGGAGGCTACATTGCTTCAAACAAAGACATGGCATTATCTTCAAAGTTATTTCAGGGGAAGAAAAATCAGTGCCACTTGAAGAAGCAAATTCTTGGCATGAAAAAAAAGAAAAAGAAATAAATCCTTGAAAAGTATCAACCTGACAACATCTACAATGCAGATGAAATTGGATTAATTTACCAACTGATGCCCAAAAAAACATTTGCATTTAAGGGGAAACATGCAAAGGTGGCAAACAAAACAGCATATCACTGTTCTTCTGTGTTGCAACTCAACAGGAATGGACAAATTAACACCTCTTCTAATTGGAAGATCAGCAAAACCCAGATGTGAGAAGTATGCCAGGTAATGTTTCTTTTCTCAAATTATTTTTCTCTAATTTTGAAAAAATTTACTAAATTTCTTATGGACAAACTGTTTGTCCTTCTTCCTTTTATCCTTTCATATACCAATAAGAAATAACAAATCTTGTGGTGGAGTCAGAGTCAACCTTTATCTGCAAGATTTGTTATTTCCTATTGGTTTACGAAAGGACAAAAGGAAGGACACTCAAGAGTTCATCCATAAGAAATTTTGTAATTTTTTTTTCAAAATTATAATTACTGTCCTAGAAGTAAATTTTATTTTAAATGTATTTTTTTTTCCTTTAATTTTCCTATCTCCTATCACTCATAATTGCTCCTTATTTTAGTCCATTTAAGGCCAATGGAAAATAGATGACTACAAGCATCTTCAATGAGTGGCTTATGGTGGACAAATAGATGATACAGGAAAAAAAAGCTATTCTAGTAGATAACTGTATTGCTCATACCAATATACCATCATTATGCAATGTTGAAATATGCTATTTTCTTCCCAATTGTATGTCTGTAACCACTAGATATGGGAATAATTCAGAGTTTTAAAGCCAAGTACAGATTCCATTTAGTGCAGAGACTGTTACTAAACATTGAAAGAAAGTTAACAAATCTGTATAACAATCATAAAACAAGCATTTGAGATGAATGCCAGCTGCTAGTGGAAGTTGCAACCTGTTACAATCAACAACTGCTGAAAAGAATCAAAGCTTGTCTTCATTCAAAAGAATGACAAATCTATGTTATCTGACAATGAGAATGATGACCTGTTGTCAAACCTTGTGGCTGGTAACATGCCTTTGGTGTCACAAAGCAGAGATCTCCAGGAACTACTCCAAAAATATTCCAGTAATGCAGGCAACAGAGTAGACATTGTGGCAGAAGAATACATTTCTGTTGGTGAAGAGCTATATTTATTTACAAACTGCACCGATGAGGCAATTCTAGCAGAGTTAGGGACTGATGTCCAAGATGAAGAAGAGGAAGAAGAATAATCAGTTCCATGTAAACTCCCTAGTATCCTAGAAGTTATTTCTCAAATGGAAACAATTCAATGCATGGCAACTACAATTCCTGGAATTGGAAATGCTCTGGATGCAGTTCATTCAGCATTTATAAACCACAGCTTGCAAAAAAAATAAGTCAAAGCAAAACAACAATTTTTTTTAAAACAACATAAACTTCAAAACAATATAATACAATTTCCTGGTTAATAAATAATTCAGAACCAATCAGAGAGCATTATATAAATTGTAGTGCTTAATATTTAAACTAATCTTCACTTTCTTAATGATCTCAGTTTTTAAATTTCAAAACCTCACTACAACAATAACCCAGTATAACAATACTATAGTCCCAGTTCCAGTTGTAGTGAGGTTTGACTGTATTGACTGGCACTCGTTGGATTAAATATTTTCTCTTGTAAATGGAGCGAGGAATCTCCATTTATGAGACACAATGCAGTTTGTTGTATTGAATTCTTATATATTAAGTACTCATAGAGATTATTTAAAATCAATAATTTTTTTCTAAGAAAATCGTGTTTCTGAAATTGTAAAATTAAAACAGAAAATAAACATTTAATATAACAAAAAGATAATGATAAATATTCCTTTTCATTATATACTTCAATAATGTTACATTCTATATTTTAAATATTTATTTCTACAATTTTTTTATTTTATTTTACTGATAAACTTTATATTTTTAAAAAGAAAGTAATTTATCATAATGTTAAAATTTTATCATATAATGAATATCAGAGAATATCTAAATATTCAAGGATTTCATTCTTAAGGATATACTCATAGAAACATTCACAAATATTCAATTTTCTAAAATTGTATAACTAAATAATAAATTCTTTGTTAAATTTTGAATATATCATAAAACATTAATGTGCCTACATAATTTGCCTGTATCACAAGTTTTTCAGCTGTGTTTATGATAAATAATCATTGAATTAAAGATTATATTAAAAACACTTAGAATTCAAAGTTACAATGAAAATCAAAGAATAAATAGACTAGAAACATATTTATTGATTAAAAATTTTCTTTTACCATAACCTTTTCCATTGAATAAATGTATTTCAAATACTTATTAAATATCTAAATTTCTATTAATTAATTTATTATGAAAATATAGTTTGCTTTTTAAACTTAACAAAAGAAACAAGCCAAATTTTGAATTCAACTTCAATTATGTATTATTGTTAATTAAAAACAGCATAGTATATAAATTATTACCTCCTTTTCTTTTTTCTCTAATTCTTCTAATTGGTCTGGTGTAAGTTTACTTCTTTTTAACATATCTAAATTTTGCTATGATAAAGACCTCATAATTTTATTTAAATGCAAAATTTTTAAAATAAAATAATAAAAATTTGAAATAATTAAATCAGCCAACTTACTTTATGAAGATCAGAAAGTTGCTGATGCCTGGAAAGAGCTTCTTTACTTGGAAATTGACGTTTACATAGCAAACAAGCAATTTTAACCCAATCTGTAAGCTTGGCTTCTTCTGCTTTCCAAGCATCAAGAGCAGAACATTCCTCTGGAAGGTCTGCTTCAGATTCAGAATCACTTTCACCACCATAAGCTGCTACAAGTGCTGGTGGTTTTTCTTTGGCAAGAACTAAAAAGAAGATTTTTAATAATATCAAAGATACAATTTAAGTACAAAAATTTTATTTATATATTTACCTGAAAAACTCATTAATTTCTTTTCTTCCATTTCTTTTTTCTTTAAAGCATCTGTTAATAATGCTTGCCTTTCTGCTGGAGTTGTTCTTTTTTCAAGTATTGCAAAACCAGCATCTGCTGCAGCAGACTGCCTACCAAATGACTCGCTAAGAAATATACTTTGTGGAATATTACCTATTAGACCTAATTTTGCATTTTCTTTTTTCTGATTTAATGTTTTTGCCCATCTCTCCATATCCTAAAATAAAAAATTATTACAATACAGTAAAACTATATTATATAATAAAAAAAAGTAAGAATTAAACATTTGCATCTTGAAATAACCAGTTAAATATTCATCACTAAAAAGACAACATAAAAAATTATTATTATATCTATTTATTTATTTATTCACATTTACGTTAACATCTGGGATACTATGTATCAAATTTTGATAAGCTGATTTTTGCCTGTTAATAGATTATTTGTAAATGAAAGATACAAAATGTCTTCACAAATCCATGTGAACAATAGTTATGTGAAGACATTTTGTATTGTTCATATATTTTTGTTTTATGTTTTTAAAATGTAAATACTGTTGGCCAACTTTAATAATGTACTGTACATACACAGATGATTAATATTAACTATTCAAGAAAAGAAAAAAACATGTCTATTATGGACAGTTATCATATACAGCAACTGTAGATCTGCTGCCAGCAAATTTCTTTGATGAAGCCTTCAGTTGTCAAGTTTGTCTCTCAAAAAATGTACGGATGTAAATGGGCTATAAACCATGAAGAGTTTTGTATTAATTTTAAATGGTAAATATAGACAGGGCAAGTTTATAATTTACATCAACATTCAATGATGTTTTATGCATTGTTAATTAATTTAATAAAAAAAAGGATGAAAATATAATGAAGGAAAATTATATTAGTCAGATTTAAAAAGAAAAAAAATTGTGGTTAATTTTATTCTTATTGAAGTAAGTTTGCAACAGCCAGCATTTATTTCCCACTTTATAGAATCAATTTTACTGTTTATAAAGAAAAAGTTCAACAACAATAATCATAAATGATTATAAAAGTACTTATTTTTTCATTAATGTTATAACAAAATGACATTGAGTGAAAACTTATTGTAGTAAAAATTGTTCTATAGTATTCTTCTATTTTAGAATCAACCACTATAAATTTATACATATATAAACTGTTAACTTAAAAAAACTATATATAAATAAAATGATGAAACATAAAGACAATTTTGTAGCTTCAGTAAATTTTATTTATATGTATTTTAATGTAAATACTGCCAGCCAAGATTTAATTTTAAAAAAACTACTTTGTCACTTCAATACATTCCAGATATGTTTAATGTTAAATCTTTTTATACTTTACTTCCTGGCTGTTATGTATATGTTACTGTGAAAGATCGAAATTAGAAAATGTCAATATTCTCCAGTGAATGTCGACACATACAAAATACGTTGGTGAAAGACCGAATATTTGGTTGTATTATTATACATTCAAACAAAAATGGTACCCTCAAGCAGCTTTATACCCGTAATCAGTTTGTAATTTGTAAAAAAAAAGTTACTTTCGATAGATGAGATTTTTTCTCAAGAAATATCGCCGAGAGAAGCAGCTGCAGTTAATTTGAAAAGTGGAGGGCAAGGCTATACACGCTGTCATTGCAAAAAGAAGTGTTCCACGAATAAATGCAGTTATAAAACAAGGGACTCTTGTGCAATTCAAAGTGCCATAACAGTTTAACTTGTTGCAATAAATAAGATTGTTTAACGTTAATCACATAATTTATGTGTAAGTTTATTATTGTATTATTTTCTTTAATGATTTAGAATGTACTGTTCGTTTTAGGTTCAACAGTTTACAGTGGGTGATCGGTTAACAAACATAATATGTTCCAAGACTTTGTTTGCTATCCGAATTGTTTGTTAACCGATTATCGATTTACCATAGGTTTCTATGGGAATTTGATTAATCCGTTCTGGAGACTCCCAAAAAATAAAAAATATATACTTTCTTACTACGTTTATTCATATGTAATAATAAAAATACATATATACACAGTCTTGCATTTTTATTAGTCATGTTTTTTTCCATTTGTGGGGGATAAAGAATCTGTCCAATGTCGATTGCTTTTCTGTCTTCTTCGTGATTTTTCAGAAGTAATTAATTGCATTGTAATTGTAGATATCTCTAAGCCTATTAACCCCAACTTGGTTTGGATGCCATTTTAAGACCGCTGTTCTGACATCCTCCTACTTCTTCAAAAGATCTTTAAAAGCAGATAGCGGCATCAATCCTCTTTTCAGAAGAAAACGTAAAAGGATTGTTTCTATCAGAAAAATAAAAGGCTGGAATTACGAGGGAGAGTTTCAAAGTTCGGGGGAATACTATCCAATCAGTATATACTGGGTTGAACGTCGATGTCTACGTATCCCACGCTCCAAAAAGTTTTGAATTGTTGCCCGAAGACAAGGGAAGACCAATCGGTATTCGTTATTTTACGTCGCTTCTTCTTGTGTTTGTTCAGTGAAGTGTTCGTTGTCCGATCATAAAAATGTTTTGTGAAAGTGTTCGTTATCCGATTTGTTCGTTAACCAATCACCCACTGTATTTACATTGCTGTTACTTAAGCTTTTTCCTATTTTGACATATTAAAACGTTGCATTTTTCTCTTAACGTAATAAAAATATTTTTATTCAACATTCACCATTAGTGCATGCTGAATGTTGACATTTGCCGGTGTAAGTGAGAAATAATGATATTTAGCAAATATTTCATACATACACAAAACGACTGTGTGAATGCTGACATTCACTGCAGAATGTTGATATTCGCCAGATATCGGTCATTCACAGTAACATATACATAACAAGATAATTGTGTCAAATTTCATCCTCAGTTCTTTTTTGCAAATCTTCGCATTTTGAGATCCCTGAACCATAAAAAGTAAAAAAAAATTCCATGGATATGTGTGTATTGGCATCTATTTCATTTAATATCACAGGATGGGGTAAAGATTAAAAAAGAAATTTGGCATGGTAGCTTGTGTATAAGGAGCATTCATACTATTAAATTTTGGTGGTTAAAGGTTGAGGAGATGGAGATAGAATGATTAAGTGTCATATCTTCCAATGGGTCAGACTTAGTATTTTTTTTTTAATATAAAACTCACCTCTACACTCAAAACTAAGTCTTTTGCCATTTTACAATAATTAAAAATATGGACTTAGAAAAGTTTTTATAGTAAAAACTCATACCATATGATGCCACACAAATTTTATTTAAATAAAATCTCATAACAGCCAGGAATTTACACAACTCATTGCTAAATTTTTTAATGCTTCATATAGTTCAATTTATTACATAGTATGATTTTCATTTTATTTGATATGAAAGTTATTATTTGTGTATTAAATAAAATTGTGTGATTTTATTAAATAAAATTTGCATAACTTAATAAATTGATAAAAGAAATTACAAAACTTACTTTTGCAATTTTCTTAGCAATTTTTACTTTATCTTGTTTATCTCTCTCTTTTCCTTTAGTTTTATCATGAATAGCTTCTTCAGCTTATTTGTAAAAAAATTTGAGACATGTAAATAATTTAATTAAATGAAAATAACTTTAAATTTTCAAAATATTAAATAATACCTGCAGCAGCAGCAGCAGCCATTCCTGAATTACTAGCAGCTGTTGGAGCTGGAAGGTAAGTTTGCTTTTCACCATCCCAATATAAATACTGTTGAGTATCAGCATTATAATAATATTGAGAATTGGCATCATAATATAAGCCTGTTGTTGGATCATAATAATACCCAGAGGTATCATCATACTGATAAGTGGATACATCTGGAACAGGATATTTCTGATATGTTACACCATCAACTACTACAGTTCCTAAATTGGAGATATTTTTCTACAAAGAAAGAACATTAGTCACCAAAAAAAAAAAACCACACAAAACCTTGTATTTTATTTACACTAATCAATATTATGTTCCTTACTTGTGAAACATGAGTAGTACCAGTCATTTGTATAGCATTTGAATTACTAGACTTATTTTCTGAAGAATTTTGGTTTTTCTTTCCACTTTCACTTTTATCAGCATCTTTCTACAAATTTAAAANTAATTATATGAAATTCATGCTAATGAATCAGACCATGCTGTGCCAGTAAGTCCAAATATATACATGCTCTAAATAATAATAATAATAATAATAATGAACAGGATATTTCTGATATGTTACACCATCAACTACTACAGTTCCTAAATTGGAGATATTTTTCTACGAAGAAAGAACATTAGTCACCAAAAAAAAACCACACAAAACCCTGTATTTTATTTACACTAATCAATATTATGTTCCTTACTTGTGAAACATGAGTAGTACCAGTCATTTGTATAGCATTTGAATTACTAGACTTATTTTCTGAAGAATTTTGGTTTTTCTTTCCACTTTCACTTTTATCAGCATCTTTCTACAAATTTAAAATTTCAAAATTATTAGCATTAATCACTTTAATATTAATAATTGAGATTAATTATATATGAACTAACCTGTAATTGAGCTGCTTGTGAAATTGATCCTATTGAAAGATGATATATATTGTTTTAGTGTGAAAATAAAAAGTACAGGAATATATAAGATATGTTTATACCTTGACTGGATGTTCCACTTGAAGAATATGAGCCATAATTGTAATTATAATACTGACCATAAGAAGAATATTCACTTCCCTAACATAATTTAATTTCTTTTAATAATTGTATATTATCATTTTTCAAATTTTTAAAGTTTCATAACCAACCTGATATTGTTGATAATTTTGATACTGTCCTGAATCTGCACCTGCTGCCTATAAATTAATTGCATTTTAAAATAGTAGTAATAAAATCTTTATAACAAACAAAAACCTTATCATAATCATTAACAACATTGTTTTACCTGATTGGTCCACTGAGCTGCTGCTAATGCAACACTTGCAGCATTTGCACTCGCAGCACTAAATTGATATTGCAAACAACAAATATGAATATAGCAACAAAAATTATAAAATTTTTAATATTTTACTCTATGTAAATTTTCATTACCTATTCATAGCAGTTAGCGACCTTTTTGCATATGATACAGTAACTAAAACAAATATTATTAAAAATGTGATAATATTAAACTTATAAATAAAAATTATTATTAAAATAAAAATGCTATTTATTAATAAATTAAATAAATACCATATGGCTGTATTAAGTTTGTGTTGGGTAAACTCTCTTGTGATGCACTTCCAACTATTAAACAAATGAGATTTCAGATTCAAACTAATATCTTATAATACATAAATATATATATAAATTATACCTTGTCTGCCATCTATATAAAACTGACCCCCCATTGAAAGCAACAGATCATGCAACTGAGTAGCCTCTGATGTAGAATGAAGTTCAACAAAACAGAATCCACGAGAAGTGTTAGTTAAAGGATCTTTTGCAACACGCAAGCTTTTTATCGGTAAACTTGTTAATTGGCCTAATACGGCAAGTACTCGTTCTTCAGTAGTAAGAATATCAAGATTTCTAAATAAAAGTGCTGTAAAAAGTGTTTGTATAAAAGACATAAGAAATGAAAATTAATGCATCAAAAAATTAAATTATAAAAGTATTATATACTTACTGTTGGATGGAGTAGAACTAACTTCATCAAAACCTTCACCACAATGTCTAGTACATTCAGCTTCTGTAATGAAAAATTTATATAAATTATCAAAAGAAAAAACAAAGAACTTGTTGATTTCATTTAAAAAAAACCAATCCAATAAAACCTTCTCTAGGTGCATTGCATTTAAAACATAGATTCCTTCTGCGAAAATTGTTAACACCACACTGGAAAAAGAAAAAAAAATTATTAAATTTGAATTTAAATATTAAAATACTTAATGAAATATTGTGTGTGTTTAAATGATAAATAAGCATACTGTACAATTCTGTGTACGCTTATTTAAATACAGAATTTCATATATACAAGGTAGTCAATAAGTTTCTGGCCTAACTATATTTTAGACATGATAGGAATAAAATAATGATAGTATCAGATATATCAGATAGTGTCATCTGTATATGAACTAATAAAACAGTTCTTTCCACAATTTGCTTAGAAACATGTATTTTAGTCAGACTTGTTGCGTAAATTTGAATCATATTCACCTCTTACCGAACAGGCTACCATTGCCAAAGCTGCTGTGAAGGAATGTGGGTTCAAGGAGCTTGGCCATCCACCCTACAACTCAGACCTAGCTCCTAGTGATTATTATCTGTTTCCAAAACTCAAAAAAGTGACAAAGAGTTACAAGAAACAGTTCATGACCATTTTGCAGACAAAACTGCAGACTATTTTTTTCAAGAATATTGAAATAGTAATTCCAAGATGTAATAAGTGTGTTTAACTGCAAGAAGACTAAACTGAAGAATGATATCATTCTTTTATACCTATAACATCTAAAACATACTTAGGTTAGAAAATTTACTATATATATTGTGTTTACTTGCATACAGAATGAAGTGTGACTTTAAAGATCAAAACAAAGAAAATTAGATTTATTAATACAGTTCTAATTTTATCTTGTTTAATCACAAATAAAGTATCAAATGAACATAAATGCACACACTGTCCTGCAAAATTTACTGGCATTTTAAACTTTAAGGAAAAATCGTGTAAAATCAACAACATAATTTGTTCATGTAAAGCTGGGCAATTGAGAACCTTTTTTTGCCAATTCTTAACAGTCAAATCCACTCTCCATCGATTACACTTATGAGTTTCAGTTTCTCCAAATTCTCATTTCCAAATAATCATCTGTTTTCACGTGGGAATGGATTAAAACTTATATTGGGCTCTGGTGTGATTTTGCAATTTCAATCTGAAATTCAATTCAAAAGCTTTGCTTTTCCTATTGCTATTCATCTTTACTCCTGACAATACATAAGAACGATTGAAACGACCCAGATAAAATAGTTTTGTTTTTAAACACAAGAGGTTAAGTAAGCATCTGGTAAAAATGTGAATACACGGTTCACAAAAATTATTTGCAAACACACAAAGAATCTTTTACTCATGCATATAGGATGACCTAGGAATTTGAAGCTGTGATAAATGAATCTTAAGTAATTTACTCTCATCTTAGATGTGAGTAAATTACTTAAAATATATAAAAAGAAGTTAAAATTATGTTACATGCAATATCAACTAACAGAATTCATAAATTAAGCTAGTCTATAAATATTTTTAAATTCAATTAACTGCTTTATTGATTTTAAGAATTTCACAAATTTATAATCAAAAGATTAAAACTTCATTCTTCAAGTTTTATTTCATCAATAGAATTAGAAAATTATAAGAATTCAATTATAATACAATGCTATGATGCTTTAGTGGTTTTTGTATATAAAATATGCACAAACACCTTAAGTAAATGTAGTATTTATCAGATCTAGCTAGTTACTTACAGATGGTGCAGTGCTTTTTCCCTTAATAATTTCCCTTGCTAAGTGTTAGTAACCAATTAGGCCTTGAAGATCCAGGGCCTAATTGGTTACTAACACTCAGCAAGGGAAATTTATTTTTCAGACATTCCATACAAAATTAAAGAATATTTGAAAATTATATATATATAAAAATTCTTAAATACCATTCATTTATATTACTAACCTTGCTGCAATTCCAATCTGCTTTACCACCTCCCCTTTCAGGCCCACTGCCTTCTTTGGGGATACTGTAATGCAATGTTGCTCGCTGCTGACCATTGAACACCAGTACACCCTGTAAAATTAAATATATACATATAAATCTCAAGCAATAAAAATAATATAAATACCCTTTTGTTACCACCACACACTTTTGGCAGAACACAAAAGGTATCTTCAGGCAAGAGGAATCATGACTGAGCAAAGGCATTCTTCTAGTTCCGCGAACACGACAATGACAAGGCAAGAAGTAATAAATCCTTCCAGATTTATCCTCCCTCTAGCATAACAGTAAAATATAAGCCACGGGGCATTTTTATTGTTGATGAATATTTAAATGTAAGGCACAGGCCTTTCCCTTTAGTGACTTCATGCCTGTCTGTACATATTACAATTTAAACTTTAAGAACTAAGAATTGCCTTTGATTTTACTATTATTATAATTTGGAAATTCAAAAAACTCCAATCATGAATTTATTTAAAACCCATCCATCAAAAACTGATTTCTAATAAAGTAAGACTAAAATTCCCAATTGTGTGTGGTAATAGTTATATAATTATATGAAATTCATGCTAATGAATCAGACCATGCTGTGCCAGTAAGTCCAAATATATACATGCTCTAAATAATAATAATAATAATAATAATAATAATAATAATAATAATAGCCAGAAAATTCTAAACAATTTAAATAAAATACTGAAATTTTCTTATAATAGTATTCTTTTCAATTAACAACTATAATAAATATAAATTAACAGTCAATTTGCATTTTAAAATAAATTTTTAATAAGAGAATCTGAAAATATCAATCAAATTAATTTTACTTTTCATTTAAAAAATATTCCTCCTATTATAAAAGCTACTTAAAATCATCTATGATTTAGTACAGTAAATTATTTTATTTTTTCAATTTGCCATCTAAATAATAATTTAGAAAGTTAATGTAGAAATTCTTAATAAACCAGAAAACTTGCAATTACCAATAGTAAAAAAAAAACTACCTTAATAACAAAGCCCTCACTTCAATTTCATTATATAATAAGATCAATTAAATTAAGGCTATAGTTATGAATGATAATTTAACAAACTATTAATCTAAATATAAACTATTACCTTGACTAACTCTTGTTGCTAAGAAATAATTATTTATTCAAATAATATGAAGGAAAAACCCACCAAATTTTTATAAGCATATTTACTTTTCCATCACTGATGACAATTTTCTTCTAAATCTTATACAACTATTTTATTATTATTTAATCTTTACATATAATATACTAAAACAACCTTTGAAATACTGTATATTTACAATAATAAATCATTTCTTTAAATTGATATTTTATGTCAAATATGGAAAAATGTCTTGACTCATCTCAAACTCAGTTTACTGTATCAAAATAAATTTCAATACAATACTTATACAGTGATACTTCAGGATACAAAACTAATCCGTTCTGAAACTGAGATCGTATCATGAAAATGTTGTAAGGTGAACCATTTTTCCCCATATGATTACATGTAAAAGTAAATAATTCGTTCCAACACAAAAAACACACTCAAATTAAAGCTAAGTAGTACATTAAAAAAAAAAACTATAGTAAGGAAAACACTGAAAAATGCATTTTGTAGTTGTAAATGTATAAATAACCATAATAGAATAATAATTGATAAAAAAAATGTAGTTTTATTTGCACTTTACCTTTGAGGATAGACAANAATAAATATAAATTAACAGTCAATTTGCATTTTAAAATAAATTTTTAATAAGAGAATCTGAAAATATCAATCAAATTAATTTTACTTTTCATTTAAAAAATATTCCTCCTATTATAAAAGCTACTTAAAATCATCTATGATTTAGTACAGTAAATTATTTTATTTTTTCAATTTGCCATCTAAATAATAATTTAGAAAGTTAATGTAGAAATTCTTAATAAACCAGAAAACTTGCAATTACCAATAGTAAAAAAAAAACTACCTTAATAACAAAGCCCTCACTTCAATTTCATTATATAATAAGATCAATTAAATTAAGGCTATAGTTATGAATGATAATTTAACAAACTATTAATCTAAATATAAACTATTACCTTGACTAACTCTTGTTGCTAAGAAATAATTATTTATTCAAATAATATGAAGGAAAAACCCACCAAATTTTTATAAGCATATTTACTTTTCCATCACTGATGACAATTTTCTTCTAAATCTTATACAACTATTTTATTATTATTTAATCTTTACATATAATATACTAAAACAACCTGTGAAATACTGTATATTTACAATAATAAATCATTTCTTTAAATTGATATTTTATGTCAAATATGGAAAAATGTCTTGACTCATCAAAATAAATTTCAATACAATACTTATACAGTGATACTTCAGGATACAAAACTAATCCGTTCTGAAACTGAGATCGTATCATGAAAATGTTGTAAGGTGAATCATTTTTCCCCATATGATTACATGTAAAAGTAAATAATTCATTCCAACACAAAAAACACACTCAAATTAAAGCTAAGTAGTACATTTAAAAAAAACTATAGTAAGGAAAACACTGAAAAATGCATTTTGTAGTTGTAAATGTATAAATAACCATAACAGAATAATAATTGATAAAAATAATGTAGTTTTATTTGCACTTTACCTTTGAGGTTAGATGATGGTGGAGGTGTAAATTGGTGGCGGAGGAGAGGAGAAGGGAAATAATACTAAAACTTAACTTACATACATTATGTAACAATAACTTAAAAATAACTTAGAAAAGATTAAAAAAAATTAGTGTTGTTTTATATATATATTTTTTAANAGAAAAGCAATGATTTCAGTTTGTGGGACTGGAAAGGAATTCTTTATTATGAGCTTTTACCCAACAACCAAACAATTAATTCCAATAAATATTGTCTCCAACTGGATGAACTAAAGGCTGCAGTGCATCAAAAATGTCCAGAACTTGCAAATCGACAGGGAGTGGTATTCCATATGATAATGCAAGACTGCACATATTGTTAAACGTGCGCCAAAAACTTCTAGACTTTAACTGGGATGTTTTGAGTCACCCTGCACATTCTCCAGATATTGCTCACTCAGACTATCATCTTTTTTGTTCATTGCAAAATAATTTAAATGACATAGAATTTCAATCTCTAGAAATTATCAAAAATCACATTGATAATTTCTTCAATTAGAAACCCACCAAATTCTACACAGATGGAATTATGAAACTACCCATCAGATGGCGTAAGGTTATCGAACAGAAGGGTGAATACATTGTGGATTAAAGGTTTTTATTTATTTCAAAATAGTATATTTTATTTCTATCTAAAAACCAAATGAACTTTTGGTTCAACCCAATACATTGATGTAAACACAAATTCTAGCATGTTGATGATGCAAGCTGTAGGTCTTGCATCATCAACTAATTTCACAACTGATTTGTGATTTGTTATTATGATTGATAAACTAGTCATAGAATTCCAAACTTTGCTATAACGTTGCTATAAAGTTGATAAAGGATCTAAAAACATCATTCTTTTTAGATCCTTTATCAACTTTCCACAACACATTAATTTTTTTATGAGAGCTGTTTCTTTTTCAACCTCTGATAGGCCATAAAACAAAGACAAACGTAAATAACAAAATGAATTTATTACCAAAAGTTAGGTACAAACATGGTTACTTTTCGATATAATCACCGTGAAGATTGAGGCATTTGTCATATTTGTAGACAAGCTTTTCCATACCCTCTTCATAGAATGTTGCCTCCAGTGAATTGAGATGGCCTTAATGCTGCATCATTAAGGCCATCTCAATTCACTGGAGGCAACATTCTATGAAGAGGGTATGGAAAAGCTTGTCTACAAATATGACAAATGCCTCAATCTTCACGGTGATTATATCGAAAAGTAACCATGTTTGTACCTAACTTTTGGTAATAAATTCATTTTGTTATTTAAATTTGTCTTCATTTTATGAACCATTGGAGGTTGAAAAAGAAACAGCCTTCATAGTAATGCTTAAACTCTTTTGTCTTGACATTTTTGTACTAGAGTATAGAACTGCCCACTGTCAAACCTGAAGTTAAATTAAACTGAAAATAATTTTTAAATGTTTCTGAGAACTTTTATAGATAAATTTAGGAAAGTTCTTTTGAACCTAACATAGCATTCAATACTGTAAAAATATTTAAATATGACTCATCTCAACCACCTGCATAAGTAAGACTGCTTTCTCAGTTAAATACATTACTGTACACAATAAAAAAACATCACCAATATAAATATTCATTGTACAGGCCATCTTGATTTTATGACAGATGCATTCCCAGAGGAAGCAGCATAAATAAAATTGGTGAAAAATTAATTCATTACACCAGTGATGAACAAACTACGGCCCGTGGGCCAGATGCGGCCCCCTGAAATGTTCTATCCAGCCCGCACAACATTATTCCTAATCTGACGAATAAAAAAGAATACAGGATATAACAAAAAATAAATATTTTCCTCTTTTTTCCTCTCTTTCATTTTATATCAGTGACGACATACAAATTTATTGACTTATCCTAAATATTGGAATGTTATGTTGAGAGTGAGAGGCACTGGCTGCTGGCAACTTTGTAGTGAAGAGTAAAACTGGCAACAGAGCCTCCTCGCAGTAGCTACCCCTCCACTGCGGCTAGATATCGAAACACTTTTCTTGATTCACACCTGTCTTAGCATTGTTGGTTTGCTAGTTTTACTCTGCATATTGTGAAAAATTTTAGCTCTAAAATGTTATCTAAGAAACGTAAAGTTGATTCTGAGTGCCGTGTTTTCAAAGATGAATGGACTTGGATACACTTTTTCACCACTATATCTCATCTGTAATGAAACTGTAGCAGTCTACAAAGAATATAACATTTCACAACACTTCAACTCTAAGCACAACAATGTCAAGGTTAGAGCCATGACCAAAGAAGAAAGAAAACAAAAAGCAGAAGATCTACGCAAAAAACTATCAGGTCAGCAAAGTATTTTTAAGAAAGGAAATAGTTCTCAACAAGCAGCTACACATGTGAGTTATGTTGT